CCCAGCCCCCACCCGGCCCCTTAGCAGCCCCAAGGACGGAGCCTGTTTTGCCAGAGATGTCTCCCTCCCCAAGGCTCAGTGTCTGGTGTTGGGCCCCAGCCTGTCGCGGCATTTCCCAAGGTTTCTGCTTCTGCCTCGCAGAAGCCGTGCTGCTGTGTTTTGTCTGCTCCCAATCAGTGTCTTTTGTTAGTGTCTTTGAAAAGACGATAAGATCGCTTCCCCCTCCGCCGCCAGCCCCGCTGTCAGCCTGGCGTGACCACGGCCATTGTATCCTTGAGCGATCTGGGCGCAGCGGCAAGCAGCCGGAGTGGGACCTGCTGGAGAGCAGCGGTTCCCCTCGCTGTTGTCTTTCCAAGAGCATCTCTGCTGTGGGGAGGTAGGGCAAGGGATCCAGCCTTTTCCTGCATCCCAACTTGCCAGTTAATTTTTTGGGGGGAGAATCCCTGGGGATGCGTGTGTCAGAGGAGCGGGGATGCTGGGCAGGTCAGGCGGCATTTCCAGTGCCGGCGGGGGAGGACGGGGACGCCGCTGTCTCGTGTGCTGTGATCTGATCTGAGCTGAGTTGTGCAGCTGAGTGTGCTTCATTTTTAATTGCTTTTGGAGAGGGGAGGGCGGGGGCCCCCCTCGCTGCAGCTCTCTCCTTGCTGCAGCCGCTGCCCCGGGCAGGGTGTGCGGCTGGGTGCAGCCCTGGCTCCCTCCCCTCCGGCCCCAGCTCAGCCCGGCCGCAGCCCGGGGCGGGACTGGGGGCTGGGGAGACCCCAAATGCAGAACCCAGCAGCACAGAGGGGTGGCACAGCTGGAGGGTGCCTGAGCCCAGCCGTGGCCGTGCCGGTGAAGCGCCGGCTGGGCTTGCAGCCCTGCTATGGAGCCGGTGTTGGGGCTGTGCCAGGCTGCTGCTGGAGCAGCCACTTTCAGCCACCAAATACCCAAACCTGGGAGCATGAGGGGTGCAAGTGCATCCATCCGTCTGGCAGCTGCAAGGGAACCTGTCCCTTCCCCTTTGGAGGACCTTGCACTCAGCACCCCGGCGCATGGCTGACCCCAAGCTGAGGGGTATTTGGGTTTCCCTGGTGGCTTTTTTGGTCCTATTCTGTCTAAACATGGCCATGGCCTTGCAGTGTGTGCCCAGGAGCCGAAGTGGCACAGCATGTGTGGGTGGCAGGGACAGGGCCACCACGTGCGTACGCGGTGCAGCCTTATTTGTATGTGCTGCAGCCTGGAGTTGAGACTGCAGCTTCCCCCACCTTCCATCCCGCTGTGCAATTATTGCCAGCAAATATTAGTCAAGTACAAATTACAAACCATTCAAAGTCTTAAAGAGCTGTCAATCAGCTGCTGCTTATTATCCTAATCAAATGCACTAAAAATAGTGACAAAACTTATTAGCAGGGGGAGGGAGAGGCCATCAAAATAAACCTGCGGTGTGGCACATCCTCTGCGTGGCAGCCGCAGCGCCAGGCGCCCACCCAGCAGGAGGGATGCAGGCGGCCACCCGGTGTTCCACCGACCCCGCTGAGGTTTGCTCGGTGGTTTCCACTGTCGCGCTGTGGTGTTTGCAACGTAACAAGACTGGGGTGTGTGCCGTGGGGTGGCGTGCCGTGATCTGGGTGAAGCACAGGCTGAGTGGGTCGGGGCGGCTGGGGCACGGGAGGCTGCGATGACAGCCGGCGGTGCTGGGGGAGCAGCAGCTCTTTCTCCTTCACTGCCGTCTCTGTGCAAGCCCTCCCCTTGCTATGCCTTGGTGGCTGAGGGCATAAAGGCAGGAGGCTGCGGCTGGGCTCCCTTCCAGGCTTGTTCCCAGCAGGGTTAGATGGCAGCGCAGCAAAAACCTGCCTGTGCCCCATCCCCATCCGTCTGGGATGTTCCCCCTGGATGAGATGTGAGACCTGGGCTCTAGCTGGGACAGGACCTGTTGGGATGCTGCTCAGGGCTGTGAAGCTGGGGGTGCTGCGGGGCTGTATCCCCTCCATGCCAGGCAAGCCTGAGCCCCTTGGGGGCAGCTGAAGCCTCTGTCCGGCACCAGGGGAGCAGGACTGGCTGGAGGGGGATTTGTCAGTATGAGAGGGGGGCAGTTCCTGCAGGATTTGAGGGCTGGAAGGGGGTGGCAGCGCCAGTCAAGGTGACTGCCCCAGCTCTGCAGGGCCCTGCTCTGCTCTGCTTTCAACCCAAAGCTCTGCCCTGAACCACTGATGCTGATGAGTGTCCCCCCCCATCACACACACTTGCAGTAGGCAGCTGTCCCTTTTGAAAAATTTGGCCAAAATGTGCTTTTTTGGCCGAGTCAGAGCTTGAGCAGCATGAGTTGCTCCCAGACCTTGTGTGTGGTTCGTGCCGTAGCATCTTGTCTGTGCTGTTGGGGATGGAGAAGGTGATGCTCGTCCCTGGGAACAAGGTCCCCAGTTGGTGGCTGAGCCTCCCTGCCACTGGTCCTGGCTGCCTGGAGGCAGAGCAGCGGGGCTGGGAATGCTGGCGTGTCTGGAGGAACTGGCTTCATTTTTAACCCCCCAAAAAATCCCTCGGCAGGCTGGGGGTGCTGCGCTCCCCTCTCGCCCCGGGGCATCGCTTGGGGCAGCTCCAGCCGCCTCCTCTCCTATCCCCGGGTGGGTTCGATGAAGTGGAGCAGAGAATCGTCCCCTCTTCACACATGAGAGATCAGAGCGAGTGGGTGTGAGCTGCTGGCCCCGCGCTGGAGGGATGGCGAGGAGGAGGAGGAGGAGGAGGAAGGCAGCGGCAGCCCTGGGCCCTGGACCGTGGCGCGGGGGGAGAGGGCCATGGGGCGCGGGGACGGCGGTGGCTGCCATGGGTGCTGACGTCCCCTCTGTCTCGCAGGCTGCGGTGAGAGCTGAGCTGACTTCGCCAGCAGCCCCTCCCCACCCGGCGGCGAGGCTGTAGCTGGAAAGCACTGGTAAGGCATCTCCGACGGCCCCAGGGAGGGGGGACCAGGCTGCTTTGCTGAATGAACCCACCTGGGAAAAGGGAAACCCTCCCAACCCCCTGGGGGGGCTCGGATCTGGGGTACTGGGTGCTCTACAACAGCCAGGCTTGGCCCTTGAGCATCCGTGGGTGGGTAGGGTGCTGGGTGCAAGAGCAAAAGGCAGAACCTTCCCTTCATCCTTCCCATCCCTTGGTGCTCCCCGCGGCATGGCCGGCCCGTGGGGGCAGAGCTGAGGCCTCGCAACTCGGCACCGCAGTGGTTTGTGATTTGCTGCTGGCGCTGACCCCCCTGGAGCGGAAACCAGGGGAGTTCCTGCAGGCTGCGACGTGCCCGGGGTGCTAATCCCCACCGCAGGAGAGCTGCCTCCATACGCCGCCTCGCATCAGTCAGCGGCGAGCACCCGGAACGCTGGCCACGCTCCAGCCCGCTGCCGCCGCCCAAGCCTTCGGAGGGGCACCCCTGCCAAAAGCCGAGGCGCCGGTCGGGATGGGGAGCAGTGCTGAGCACCCCCCATCCCAGCACTGTCGGCTGCAAAAAGCATGGGAGCAGGGAAATACCCTGCTGGGCAGCAGCGGGGCTGCCCTGGCCACCGCAGTGGTTTGTGATTTGCTGCTGGCGCTGACCCCCCTGGAGCGGAAACCAGGGGAGTTCCTGCAGGCTGCGACGTGCCCG